ACCACCTGCCTGATTTAAAAAAAAAACGGAAAATTTACAAAAAAAAATCTGTTTGAGAATTTGGAAATAACTGTCAATTTGATAGGAGACAGGAATATGAGTACTAATTTGAAAAAGTATAATACCTTTTCAGAAACTCCTTTTCCGTCAGATGATTAGCATCGTGCCTCTCGATATTGCATGGTCCGTCTCTGCCAACAACATCCTTTTCCTCGGTGTTCCAGCCACCATCGTTACCAGAAACAGATTTGACAAACAAAAGCACGTAAGCGGTAAATACCAATAACATGCAGTCAAATCCTCAACATGAGGGTATAAGGAAAGAAGAGGAAATGCAAGCAAAAGTAGGACGGTTCTGAACCAGTTTAGTATTCACATAGAGTTTAGCAATCTTTTATGTAGGATATAGATTCGGGCATGATCACCAATGTAAAAGAAGCAGTAAGTACACATACAAGTAAATAACAAAGAAAGAAAGAAAACCTCGTTGACAGATAGCAAATTATTCTCTTCTGTTGATGGAAATTTTCAGGAGCTTGAAATAGAAACTCATTGAGCTGGGTCACGATATAGTCCGGCTTTCATGTATTACCTCTAATTTTTTGTTCCATATAAAAAAGTAGAATACAAACGCAACCAATAAACAGACCCAAGAAGCAAAGCAGTCGAACAGATGTAAATGTAGGGTTCACATAAAAATCAGTATATCGTTTGCCACGCCAGACTTGATTGATTATTACCGATGTCGTCGTCATGCTGCTTTTTTTTTCTGAATAAAGTTTTGTTATCGCGTTTACTAACTTTTGTTCAGCGAGCCACCTACCATTCACTTATATCGTGACCCTAAGATAAACCTTTTCCAATGCAAGTTATCTTCAAAAAGGAAATTTCCCAATTCATCAAGATCCTAAATTCATCCAAATGTCACGCCGCTTTGGATTTCTTCAAGCTGTTTGCAAAATCCTCATAGTACGGATATCGATGTGCTTCAAAAATTTTTAATCGGCCTCTTTAATTTCACATGACACTGCCGCTCCTTATGACACCTTGATGAAAATAAATCAGAGCCCAAGTAAGGGGTAAGCAACATAGCGCCAAATCAGAAAATAACCGAAAAGTAACGGTGGCAAACAATACACCAGCACTTCAAGTATTCTGATAGTAAGGGTGGTTTACGAAAACACCCTAACAACAGAAGAAAATCTCTAATGAAGCATTGTATCAAATATCTACATTATAAAAGATTTTCACACTACATCACTTCACAGAAGATGTATGATGCATACACGAATTTACACCGTAACTTTTCGTCGATATATTCAAATGATCCTCAGCTACTGAAAATTCGTTGATTATTCACCAACACTTGCAAACAATGATTTGATGGTACCCGAAATGATGATAAAACTCACGTGGAACCGAAACGTTCATGTTTCGCGGTGATGCTGATCACTCCACTTCAGCAGCAGGACAGTGAATGTCTGCAAAAACATAAAACTTATTGATTATATTCATGAAACTTGAAAAATGTTCAAAATCACAGTTTAGGAATAAGACATGAAAGTTGAGTCTACGTTTATGTGTTTCATGCCTCGAACAAAGT